GCAAATAAATAAACTACCCAAAAAATGAACAAGTAGAAAAATAAAAATGAAAACGAAAATTTTCAAAGTTCATTTCAAAATTTCAGTCTAAAAAACCTGACCTGACCGGACCGGACCGGACAAAGCCCCATTAAAGAACTCACACAGATCTTTCAAATCCTTGAATGATTCTTTAATTCCCTTTTGACACATTTTCCCTTCGAATGCTGTCAGTGGTAAGTCCCCTTTTTCAGCTATGAGAAATTTGAGAAAAGCATGATATGCCGTCGCTTCGCATTGATACCAAGGTACATACTTGAAAATGTGTGTGTTCATGTGAATGTAATAATGTTTTTAAGTGAGCTACTTTCCGAATCTGAATCTAATAACCGGTAAAGATGAGATCTTGGAGCGGATTTTGAAGGATCTAATGTGGAGTTCATATATGATTCTCCTTTTCTTTTGGGCCTCTTTCTCATTTTCTCCTTATGTAGTTAATTCTTTTTTTCATGAGGGTTCTATCACCTAAGGTTGATTAAGGTCCTGCATCTGGTCTGGTTAATACCTCCTGCTCTGTTAGCCTAAGATTTATTTTGAAAGCTTTGAAAAAATTATTTGGGTTGCCACTTGCCAGAGGCGATTTGGATTGGGGGATTGGAAAAATGTTAAGGTCCTATGTTTGGGTTATTTTTAGTATGTAATAGATTCGTTGTTGCATACTTCTTGGTGAAAATGGGATTTTGAATGAGATTCCCTTTATTTTTCTTCAACTTCTTTGGGTTTTGGGGGGTCTTTGAAAAAAATAACTAAATATTGGTTTTTGTGAATACTCCATTTGGTTCCCTGCATTAGTTGCTTCAAATTTAGATCTTTGTGAGTTCCTCTGATTGTATAGTTGAATTTGGTTATCGTTATTTGTACGTTTTGTGTGATCACCGCTATTGATTAGTTTGAAGCGTCTTCGTTGAAATGTAGAATATCTGATCCATGTGCCAGTTTTTTTCTTGTTAAGGACTAGATAATGGGCCTTACTTTTCAATTCTTTTGATGTGAATATTGATTTTGTGTTAGATAAATTGAGCATGATGGATGCTGATAATATCATTCCTGTGTCTGGGAATGGGAGTCTTGAAAATGGTCATCACCAACAAGTCCCAATATCTGAAAATGTTAACGGGACCTCGAATGGCAATCTTGAGATTGAAGGCTTGGCTGAGAATTTCGAAAATTCCATTGAGTTGAATGTTGAGGACAAATTAAATTCTGGCCAAGAATTCGTAGAAGAGCCTACTTTACCCCCAGGAAGTCATTCAACCAGCAACTCAAAGGTAGAAAATTCTATGGGAGAGTTTTACAAACACATATCATGAAGTGATTATGAGCTTAGATTTCTAGTTTCTTCAAATGCCAACTTCTTTTTCGATATTATCTGATATATTCAAAATCTAAGATCAGTTAGATGGGTACTTTAGATTCTGTTCCTACTTCATTTGATTTCATGCTTAAAGAAGAAGTTGTGCAGCTTTCCCTTACCAAATACTCTCTTTTAACTCTATATTTGGAGGTGCCATTCTTATTTAATTGTTTCTTTTTATATAAAAGTTCACTCCTCAAACTCTGCCTTAAAATTTTCAGCAAACAACTTCATTTGTTCTTTTGAAGGTTGTCTATTAACTAATACTTATAGGATTCTGGAGTTCAAAAGCCTGATGAATCAAAGAATTTGAAAGCGCAAGACAGTATGATAAGAATCGACAATAGGAAACATTTGAGCAAGGGCAAAGATGGAAAAGAGGTTAAGAAATCTTCAAACGGCAACATTGCTTCCGAATCACGCCCGAGACAGACTTCTGCTTTTGGAACAAAAAGTAAATCATTCAATGAGAGGCAAAGTGCTGACAGCTCTAGAGCCGCTTCTGCTAAAACGGCACAGCCTGAAGAAATTCCGTATGTTTTATTTGTTTTCAAGAAACTGATTTTTCAATTCCCTTGTCAAAATGGATATTCATAAACATTAATTGACTGGCACATTCGATTAGCTTGTGATTTTGAGAAATTTGGCAACCTCTAGCTAGTATTTTTAGATTAGTGAAAAATTGTATCACCCACTTCATCACAGTTCAGTTTTTGTTTTTTTTTTTGTTTTTTTTTAATAATTTCTATAACTGTGGTTTGTGACTTTGATTGTTTATCAAAGTAAGAAGACAAAGCTGAAAGCTCTTACAAAAGGCCCTGCCAGTAAAGCCGATGAGATCCCACAGTCTTCATCGTATCCATTTCTTTTTTACATTTTTTTAAAAATAACATCAGCTTTTTCTGATATATATATAAAGAGTTCAGTTGGTTTATCCTTAAGTACTTTACAGAAATCCTACTGCTGAGGAAGCTAAGCCCCTAAAAATGGGTTCTCTTCCTGCCTATAATTTCAGTTTTAAATGCAACGAAAGGGCTGAGAAAAGGAAAGAGGTTAGTACTTCTTTTTGCTATTTCTTGTGTAATAGGGACTTGAAGTTGTCCTGATCATTTTTATACCTTTTTTTTCCCTTGTACTGGATCTTGCTTTGACAGTTCTATTCGAAACTCGAGGAAAAGATTCAGGCAAAGGAAGAAGAGAAGAGTAATTTGCAAGCTAAAACCAAGGTTCGGATTTTGTATCACATTATGAACAATATCTTAGATAGCAACTTATGGTGTTGATGCAGATGTAATCTTTATCTGTTAAACAGGAAACACAAGAAGCTGAGATCAAGAAGTTGAGGAAAAGTTTAGGTTTCAAAGCTACACCAATGCCGAGCTTCTATCAGGAACCTCCACCTCCAAAAGCAGAACTAAAGAAGGTAACAAAAATTCTTACTATGCATTCAGGCTGCGAGTTTCATCTAGATTTCAGATAGAGATTAACACGTGGATAATTATAGTAATAATTAATTGAAGCGAGGCATTAGAAATTATTTCAGACCAAAGCTTTCTTTATTCCTTTTTCTCAAGCGTCAATTTGTCTGATACAAGACTGCCACTTTTGTCTCTTTCGCACGATCCTCTTCGGATACTTCGTCCAACCCAAGGATTGTGATTTTTAATATCACTGGAATTTAAATGAAATTATTGATGCCCAAAATTTAGACGTTAGACCCATTTATGCTTGTATTAGTTATTTATGAAGTTGTACCTAATTTATGCTAAAGATTCTTTCTTTATGCAATAGCCTAATACGTTATCATCTTTTTTCTAGTTCATGCCCGTCATTTGGGCATTTGCGAACTTTGTACGTTCTTTCTCATGAAGACTCCTAAACTTTGTTTGCTGGCCCCAATTTCTTGATACAGATACCTACCACCAGAGCTAAATCCCCCAAACTTGGCAGGAAAAAGAACTTGAGTTCACCAACTGCCGACACAAAAGAAAACGGGCCTTGCCAGCCTAGGTTAAGCTTGGATGAGAAACTCTCGCAAAGCAACCTTGCCCGAACAACAACACGTGACAATCATGTCAAGAAGCCGCAAAGAAAGTCCCTTCCCAAGTTACCGTTTGAGGACAATGCCTTATCATATGAAAAGAAAAAAACACCATCGTCTCGTAAAAACAATGCTTCCAAAGAAACCGTTGAGCACGAGGTTCAGCCGAAAGTCTCGACAGATGAAGAAACTACAGCTGCTGGGACATTCGAGGGTCAGTTGGACGTAAATGAGAAGCTTCCGGAAGCTGGGGAAGAAATTGCTAAGGTGCAAGAGGCAATTGCAGTATGAGTTGTTTTGTGGTCTTCATGAATGAATATTAGAAATGCCTCTGATTTATAAACTAAATCATGTGATAATGGAAGGCTCGGTGTCTCGCTTGGATGGATAATCAATCAGCCATAAAGTTAGGTTATTGATAAAGTTGCTGAGTTTGGAATACTTTCTGGAACTACTATATGTTGTTAGAATGTAATCCCTATATCCATGTTAAAAACCTTCTGGGAACTCTCTTGTCTTGAAGAGGATCACCTTTATGTGTAATTGTTCAAGGAAAAAACTTTCTATACCTGTTGAAATGTAATGTATTTGTATCTTTGCATTTTGGCCTGCTAATCCTTTAATGAGTGTATATGGGTTTTGAAATTGAAGTGATGGTTCCATATAATGATATAAAGACTAGATGATCACTCACTTCCCTTATTTCTTTTGTAAATGAGCAGAGCAAAACATAAACTACTGATACTTGAGCTTGGCTTTAGCCTTTATCGAGTTAAACTCAGCTTAATAAATGAATGAGCCAATAAACGGGCATGAGCTTCGTTCTTTATCAATATTAGCTAACTGAATTCAAGCTTTAATGAGTCGAGTTAATGAGTTGAGCAGGGGCGGATCCAGAAAATTTAATTGGGGGGACTAAATAATTTTCACCAACATGCTTCATTAAAAAGACAACGTTGCATTTCTAGAATTGAAAAAAAAAAAGTAGTTCAAAAAATACATACTGTTCAAACTTTGTAACTATTAGAATTGTGCTCGACGTTCTCTCAAGTTAGAAACTCATCGATGATGGACTCGACAATAATAGATCTTGCAATTTTTCTTTCAACGAAGATAGTCAAAGAATTACAAAAAAGTCATCTTCCATTTTATTTTGAAGTTTATATTTAACGATAGCCACAACCGAAAATGCACGCTCTGTGCTAACAGATTATTTAGTGATAGTCGCTACATATAAGAATGATGAATTAATACACATATGATTTAAACCCTAAGTCCCTAAAAAGGATAAATAAATAAAATTATGAACATGAGCATAAATTAAAGTATTTATAAATATAATCGAATGATCAAATTATTCGGAAGAATCAAAGAATTGGACCGATGATCCTTGTTGTTGCTGCAAAATTGTTATATTTTTTTTTACATTGCAAGCTTGCCTCCGCTGTGTTGTACGTCTCGGTGCCGCTGTTTTGTGTGTTTCTATCTCTATCTCTAGAGTCTTGAACTAAGTGTATTCCTTTATGTTAATTAGAGTAGTTTTATTAGTTTTATTAATAAATAATAATATAATACAATAAAAGGTGAAAGTTAAATGAGCTTTTTATGGCTTATCTTCTATATATTTCTCTAATAGGTCTTGGCATGTTCAAGTCCACATAATCTCAATCAATATATCTTTAGTTAATTGGTTAATGGGGATAATTAAATATACTTAATCTAATATATTAGATATATATACTTAGGTAAAAAAAACTAAAAGTTTGGGGGGACCATGGCCCCCCTAAGTTATATGTAGATCCGCCCATGGAGTTGAGTCTAGCTTGATCTATTCACTAAACAAGATTGAAGAGTTCAAGCTTGATTTGAGCTTACTCATCAAAATATTAATGAATTGCCAACATTTTCGAATGTAATCCAACCGTTTGAAGAGTTGGAGCTTGATTTGAGCTACTTTATCAAACATATTAATGGATTGTGAACTTTTTCAAAATGAAGTCCAAACCTTGAACGACCTTGGTAGCTATTAATCGTGAATTGATTTAATTTGTAAATTTGTCCTCGAAATGATACATATTTATAACATGATACATCAATAAAGATCTTTAAAAAGTTACTAAATTTATTTGTACTAACTAGCCATATTAAAAGAGCACGAACGAGCTTTCATCAAGTCAGATTTCAGCAAATTAGCTTGATTTATACAATTTAGAACTATCTCTTATTTGCAACGTTTTTGAGATTTCAAATTTCTTACCATGATAAGCGGAAAAAATAATTATCTAAAAATGATATATTTACTACTTTCGGGTGTGCGTGGATATAGATATATCCATACCTAAATTCAAGCATAATTCAAAATTTAATTTAACTTTAACTTAATTTTTTGAATTTTAATATTATTAATATAATTAAATTATATTAATCCATCATCTTTACATTCACATAAACTTTATTTCATTATTCATCGTTAATATAATGCTAAGTACATATCACTTTCAATTACTTTTCTCTTACTATAATATTAAATCAACTTTTATATTTTTATTTTAAATATTATTTAAATACAAACTTAATATTTCGTTAAAAAATAATTAAACCAACTTTTTTAAAATTAATATTGATTGATAAAAAAAAAAAACAATCAAACCAGAATATTTCTATAGCCAATCACGCCTTAAAACTCAATTTGATCAGCATCCACTTGCGCTTTTTCAAAGCTTTTTCTCTACGGACTACGGCTATCAGATTCATATCTAGTGGTGTATTCTTCTGGGATTTCTTTTTGGTATTTGGCATATTTTCACATTGTGTATTTTTCTTAACCATTAGATCTCTTTTCGATTCATCCGACGGTCCGTATTTCACACAGCAGGTATCTCGTGAAATTTACAGTCAGCAGACCCCCCGACACAGGAAAATGAGAGACCCTAATCCCACTCTATAGCTCTTGTTCATCTTTCATCTCAGATTCTTACAGACCCTGTTCGCTAATACTTCTAGTTGCTGCTAAGGTAAACGCGTGAAAAATGTATTTGTTGATGAGAATGTGATAATGTTCTCGAGTGGAGCTAGTTTCTTAATCTGAATCTCACTCAGAACGAGTAAAGACGGGATCTTGGGGTTTGTGGAGCTTATATTTTGTTCTTCACATTTTCTTCTGCAGTTGAATTCTTGTTTTCTTGAGGGTTTTGTCTGACTCTCGCTAATGCTTATTGCTCTGTTTGCATAAGTTCTTTGTTGAAAAGCTGCTTCTTTTTGGGGCTGTCATAACTCTTTATTTGGGTTGCCAGAGAAATTTAGAGTGGGGAGAGAGATGTTTGAGCTCCTAAGTTTGTCTGATTTAGAATGTAATAGAATAGATTTTATGTTGCATTCTTGTTGACAATGATGTGATTTTGAATGATATTCTCTTTATTGATCTTCAATTTCCTTTTTTTTTTTTGTTTATATTTTTTAAATTTAGGGGGTACAAATGCTCCTTTTGGTTTGCTGCACTAATTGCTTCAAATGTAGCTCTTGTTTAGTTCTTCTGATTATGTAGTAGAATTATATTCCAGTATTCCGTACAATTTGTGCTGTCAAATACTGAATTAATTTGTTGAAAAGTTTATTCTTCATTAGTTGAATGAAATATACTAATATAGAACATCTAATCTATTTGCCTCACTTTTCATTCATTGTCTGTAGAAATCTTTTCTGCAGAATATGAGTCTTATTTTTTCATTTCTTTTGGTGTGAATCTTGATGTCTTGTTAGAAAAATCCGACGTGATGGATGCTGATAATGTCATTGTTGTATCTGTAAATGAGGATCTTGAAAATGGATCAATGAATTTAAATGGGACCTCAAACGACACCCTTGAGATTGAAGGGTTGGGCAAGAATTTCGAAATTGCTGTCGGGTTGAATGAGGGGGAAAATCGTTTAAACGCTGTTCAAGAAATCACGGAAAATCCAGCTTTACCACCAGAAAGCCATTCAGCCAGCAGCCCAAAGGTAAGAGATTTTAAGGAGATGAAGACATTGTTGTTGGGCCTGTAGTGTTTTCAAATGCTAACTTCCCTCTTGATTTTTCTTAATTTACGAAATAATTAAATTCAGCATTACGGGTGCTGAAGTTTTCTGATCCTACTTCTTGGTTTGATTTTAAGCATAAATAAAGATTTTTTACAGCCTAAACACTCTTTTAGCTCAATTGTTTTAGATTCTGTTTGGAATTTCCATTCACTTCTTCCTTTTGCTATAGAAATCACTCTCAAAATAACAAATCTATTTTTTTCAAAGGTATCTAATAGCCAATACTTACAGGAACCCAAGGTTCAAAAGTCTGATGATTCAAAGGGTTCGAAACCGCTGAAGGGTACCATAAAGACCAGAAATGAGAAACCCTTGAGCAAGGGTAAAGATGGAAAGGAGGTTACAAAATCTTTAAATGGCAACACTGTTTCTGAATCACTCCCAAGGCAGACTTCTGCTTTCGGAGCAAAAAGCAAATCATTCAACGAGAGGCGAAGTTCTGCTCAAAATATGGGACCACGTGAAAATGTAAGTAACATTCATGTAGTTTTATGCGATACTTTCTTAATTCTTACATCTCTCGTTTTTTACATTATTATTTTTCTTGATCCTAGCAGCAGCAGTCTTCCACAAGCGAAGAACAGCCTGAAGAACTTCTGTATGTCTTTCTTTCTTTTTTTTCTTCTTCTTTTTTTTTTTTTATTTTTTTTTTTTTTTTTTTTTAACACTAACTTTTCAGAATCCCATGTCTAATTGGATCATTACAAATTTACAATCCTTAATTGACTGAAGATTTTGACTAACATTTTGCTTCCTGCTAGCACATTTAGGTTAGAGAAATTTTGTATCACAGTGGTCTGTAAACTGCATTTTTTTATTACAGTAAGAAGGCAAAGCTGAAAGCCATTAGGAAAGGCGCTGCAAGTAAAACAGATGAGATTCCTCAGTCTTCATCGTATCCTTTGTCTAGATTGAATAAAGATAAGAAAAAAAAAAAGAAGGAAAAAACGTGTCTTCGATATAAAGATTTCTTTGGTTTATCCTTAAAATACCATTTAGAAGTCCTACTGGTTGTGATGATGCTAAGCCCCTCAAATTGGGTACTCTTCCAACCTATAATTTCAGTTTTAAATGCAACGAAAGAGCTGAGAAGAGGAAAGAGGTTAGTACTGAGTTCATCTGCCATTTTTAAATGCTTGCGATTTCTTGCTTTATTTAGATCTGAGATTTCTGTTGTATATTTTCTGTTTCGTTTTGTTTTAATGAATTTGTACAGTTCTATTCAAAACTTGAAGAAAAGATCCAGGCAAAGGAAGCAGAGAAGAGTAATCTGCTAGCTAAAACTAAGGTGTGGTTTTTATAGCACAGTAGGACTCCAATAGTTAACCAGGTGACTATATTAATCAGTTGCTTTAATCTTAATATCTTAAATAGGAAACACAGAATGCGGAGATCAAAATGTTCAGAAAAAGTTTGGGTTTCAAAGCCACACCAATGCCGAGCTTCTATCAGGAACCTGCACCTCCGAAGGCAGAACTAAAGAAGGTAAACCGATAAGAAACACATAAATTCGTGAGTTTCACATAAAAATTAAGAGAGGAAAAACAAATGAATAAAAAATGTGGGAGACCTACCTTTTCTCAGCTGTGTACACTTGAAAATCTTTTACCAATTAAAAATGTAATATGCTTTCTTTGTTTGGTAAGAAGCCCATCCATTCTTATTGGTGCATGTGATGTAAAATTTGTCACAAATTTCTACTTCTAACAATAAATTAGTGGTAGTACTTCATGCCCATCATTTCTTGATTTTTTTTTTTTTTGAATAAATTGTACTACCTCCTATTCTTTTTAAATGTCATTTGGATTTATCAACTATTAACCAAATGAATGACGTTTTTTGGATCTTTTATACATATTTTTCCATTATTACCCTCATTTAGCTAATAAATACACTACGTCTTTTCATATTCACTCTTCATCTTTTTTCGAAACATCCATCTCTATCTTCATTAATGAGGGTTATTATTGGCAAAAAAAAGATTCTTAATTACTGTGCAACTTCTCAAAACGACATTTATTATGAATAGGAGGGAGTATTCGATAATAACTAAAAGTGTTAATTCATGCCCATCGTTTGATGCAGATACCTACTACCCGAGCCAAGTCCCCCAAGCTCGGACGGAAAAAGAGCTCGAGCTCACCAACTTCCGACACCAAAGAAAACGGGCCGCGCCCATCCAGGTTAAGCCTAGATGAGAAACTCTCACAAAGCAACCTTGCCAGAGCACATGATCATGTCAAGAAGCCGCAAAGGAAGTCCCTTCCCAAGTTACCGTTTGAGGACAATGCCTTGTCATATGAAAAGAAAAAATCATCATCGTCGTCTCGTAAAACTGCTGAGCATGAGGTTCAGCCAAAAGTCTTGACGGATGAAGCAACTACTGTTGCTGGGGGAATTGATAGCGAGTCGAACGTGGATGAGAAACTTCCGGAAGCTCAGGAAGAAGTTGCTAAGGTGCAAGAGACAATTCCAGTATGAGTCCTTGGCACAGGGCTGTCAATCTGTTTTGTGGTCTCATCGAAAAACTATTGGAAATGCCGTTTAATAAGACTCAACTCATTCGAGGATGGAAAAGCTGAATGATTTGCTTGGTATGGATAATCAGCTGTGAAGTTGGTAGATTTTGAGGACCTGTGTATGGTTTTACAATGGTAATCCCTATCCATGCTACAAATTTTTGTAATGTCTCCTGTCTTGAAGAGGATTGCCTTTTTATAATTGTTTAGGGGCACACTTTCTATACATATCGAAGTGTAATGTATTTGTATCTGTATTGGTGTTAGCATGCATTTTGGCCAGTTTTTCTTTGCCATTTGATATTTTAGGGTGTTTTGTACTTGTGTTGTATAAAATATTCATGGTCTGAACAAAACATGAGATTAATGCATCCAAGTCTCTACCTTAAACTTCCCACCAATACAAAACAATAATCAAATCTCAGCTTTTGGTTAGAAGGTTACTGCATTAATATTTAATCATTTATTGTTGCATTTTTCAAGAGCTTGTTTTCTTTTAACTCATTTAGATATGAAGCGAGTAATAATCTCCAACTGTCTCATCACCATAAAACAAATGCAAAGACAATGTGATTTCTTAACAATGCTACATTAAAGTAGCCTTTATTCAAACACAACACCACTTACAAACAAAGCAAACAGATAGTTCTTGAAGACTCACAAGATCGAACTAAGGACAGTTCACATATAAAAAAACACTTGCAAAACCAGGGCTTCAGTAAAAAGCATGAAAAAAACAACCGTTAAATAGGTTGTCATGGCAGACCGAAATCAAGCACATCTGCCACAACTAAAGCCCCAGTTAACACAAGGTAAGAAACGTAAAACTGTCAAAAGCAACCATCAAACATCTAAAACACAACCCGCTTAAAAAGAATCTAAAATATCCCAGCCCACCCACTGCCAGCAATTCTTAAGCTAAACAAGGCCATCGACAAAAAAACAGCTTTTTCAGCTGCAAAAAAATGGCCATGCCCAACCCAGAACAAAACAAGTCAACTAGGGGGACTGCAAACATTCCAGACCCATTAACGATGGACCCAAAAACTTACTTAACATAACCACTAACAAACATTTGTTTTCTTGAAAAAGAGTTTCTTTTTTTTTCTTCAACCTTAAGAGAGTATGTCGCACCTCCAAAGCTGCTCGATAAGCAGATTAACACCACTGGAGCTTATGCCCGAGCAATGCTGAATGTTCAACCCAAACAGGGTCTTACCCAGCTTTCCTAACGAAGGCAAGCTCTTCACAGACACCGAATTGCAACCCGCAAGAGACAATATCTGAATACCGAGCCGCTTGGCCCCAGCCAAGAATCCTATCCCAGTATCCGTTATTCCACAATGCGAAACATCCAACTCAGATAATACAGAGCAATTTTCCGCAACTTCAATCAAGCTCACATCACTTACATTCTTGCAACCGTCGAGATTTAGCACCTCCAAAGTCACCCCATGAATCTTGATTATTTGAGAGACAATGTTATCAGTAAGGTTCACGCACCTGCTTAGAACTGCTTTTACAACACAAGCTTCTGATCTTTGAAAAAGTGGGTAAACTCCAGAATCAGTTATTCCCTCAAGCCCCGTGAGTTCCACATGGGTCAAGTTGGGGCAAAGCTGACCCAAAACGCCCAACCCGAAATTTCCCACACCAGGGCAGTTGCGAATAACTAATGACCTGAGAGAATTGCAAAAAACAGTCACTGTAAATCGTACGGGCACGTCTTTAACCCCCAAGCAGTTGACCAAAGCAAACGCCTTTAGTTTCCCATTGTTGTTCACGAGCACACCAAAAACACCTACTTGTGAAACCCTATGAATCTCCTCAAGCTTAAGACTCTCGAGCGAAACAGCAGCCTTGGCAAAGGCTACCACCCCATTGTCAGAAACAAGCGGGCACTTTCGAAGGGAGACCGTTTTCAAATCCGGGCAGCCTTCACCAATTGCGCTGAACCCTTTATCCGAAACTCCCGGGCAAGAAGTTACAGATAAAGATTTCAGCTTTTGAAGACTTTGGCCCTTACCCATCATCCAGAAGCCCCTCTCGCTCACGTTTCGTAAATCTCCAATTGCCAGATCAGTCAAAGCAGACCCGTAATGCCCCACCACAGCAAGAGAGACATCACTTATGTTAACCGAAGTCAAATTCACCTTTGTGAGTACGTTACCAGCCGAGGTAAACAAACCCACGATACCCTGATCGCCAACGAGCGGGCAGTTTTTCAGGGTAATGGACTTCAGATTAGGGCAGCTTTGACCGAGAGCTTTCAGGCTGGCATTACCGATGTTTGCGCAAGATTCGAGTATAACGGACTTCAGATTCGGGCAGTTCCTAGCAATCGAAATCAAGCCTTTATCTGTTATGGCTGGGCAATGGCTGAGGTCGAGCTTCTCTAGCGAATGGCAGCCATTTGCAATTGCAGAGAGACCCTCATCGCCCACGGAGGATAAATTCCATAGGGAGAGAGCTTTCAAAGAAGGGCATCCGCGTGATACAGTTTTCAACCCACAATCCGTAAGTCTAACGGTGGAATTATTCCCACGGATCAAGAGCTTTCCTAGTCCACCTCGGCCAGTGGTCCCCACAGAAATAGCGGCCAATCGGACATCACTGGCTTTCTTTCCTTCCAAGCACCTCGTTAGAAAGCCGTCTGATTCGGCCTCTGTTTCATTAGGCTCGGTGGATTTTTGAGCCGTTGTGAAGATTTCTTCTCTGCAGATGGTACTCAAAAGCATGAGCCAACGCTTAGACACATTAGCGCATGCACTTCTCTCTTGGCAGCTAGGAAGCCGCCTGAAAATCTCGAACAGGCACTCGTCGGGAAGAATATCGATCGATGGATGGCTTTTTTTGGGTTCTTCTGTGAAGAAAACGGGTGCAGTGACACGGGATCTCTTGCGAGGAGGGAAATATAAGTCGACATGCCTCCCGCGAGACAGGAACAGACTCTCCTTAGGGTTTTGGTAAAGAAACCCTCCTGAGTAAAATCCCTTATCACCTGAAAGCAAATGTAAAGATTCGTTAATAAATGAATGCTCGAGTTGAAGAAAAAATCAATCTTGATAATAATCATTAATAATGATATGAATCTGTGGTTAGAAAAAGGAACAGACTGGAGATATATTACCAAAAAATGACCGAGTGTTTCTTTAAATTGCATTATTAATTTTCAGATTGCTGTTTAGTTCAGCTAATCAGATATCCAGTGTATTTCAGAGGATATGTCCTATAGCTCGGTTTTGTCTATCATCGGCTCTGACTACATAACTATTTTGATTAACCAACACGGTAGTCGCATTTCAAGATTTCACATTCTTTTAAAAACTACTAAGATCAGGAGTTGAAATTTATTTCCAAAAAGAAAATCTGCCGAACAAACAACTCGTGACATACTACTAGCACAAGCTTTTGAACACTTTAAAACCCAGTAATTGACATATATAGCACGACATGATCCATAGGACAATTCAAATCAGAGTCCATTAATGTTTAAAGTATCTGCAGATGATTCAAGAAAATAGCGTGATCCAACAAGAAACACAATACATAAATAAAAAAGAAACAAACTTTACCGATCAGAGCATTTCATTTTAAACTTAAGAGCATCATGTCCACAAACAAACACAAGAGAACGATACACACAAGAACAAAAACGAGAAACCCATTTTCCTCTACTTTTTTTTTCCCCAAACAAGGCTCTAATCTTTAAACCCACTAAAACTCAGAGAACATACCGGTGAAATCAAGAACTTTAGACATGGCAAGATTGTGAAAAGATCAGAGGCGTGAGTTTCAAACCGCTTAAGCCCAAAAAACACTCCGGCAAGAGCAAAAACAATCAGATCAAAGAGAACCACAGCTATCAACAGGGCCTCAAGAAAAACTGAACGCATCAGACAACAGAAAAAACAAAGAAAAGGAGATGAAGATCACAAAACAAAAGATCACCAAGAAACCCTATTGAATAGGGCAAAAAAAGGCAAGGCAAGAAGCAAGAAGGGGATAGACAGACCGATTGAGTGGTTTGTGGGTTTTGTATATAATACAATTTGGGGTCCTCTGCATTTGTACATGAAACACCAAAATGTGGGTGTGGGGCGTTGTATCTCATATCTTGTGCACAATCTTTAGGTTTGTCAAATGGAGGTGGGCCCGGGTATGGGGGTGGAGTGTGGGCTATGGGAAAAAAAAAAAGGGTAAGGGGTCTATTTTTCTTAGCTTTTCTAATTTAATAGAAAATTTAATGCAGGAGAGAGAAATAGGTTCATGCACTTGAGCCATGAAACAGGATTAGGTAGATATGTTCAATGTTTGTTTCCTCCTGTTCATTTCATTATTGATTTTCAAGAAAATGTTTAAAAGCCCATAATAGCTCTACCTTTCAAGAGATGCCAAATCCAACGAATTAAGGGCAACTTTTTCTAGTGTCTGAATTTTTTTTCTTTATTGAGCGGTTAAGACGACGTATTAGTGCTGTCTCTTTATGTCTAAGGCAGCATAAAAAATTAAGAGAACATAATTAGCATGATTGAAATTGTAGTAATTACCTTTTTTATGCTATATATATATTATCCCTATGTAATGTGAGGTTTATTTTACATTTTGTTGCAGACCAACAGCATAGCATGTCCGCATCAATTTATTTAATAAAATAAACAAAGAGAACCGATCAGGGATTCTTTAGGGGTGGTTGTTTATGAATTCAACTAGTTTTTATTTTGTTTGTTTTTTAACTATAGTTAATTTTGAAAAAAGGTGGTATGGTTAGTTGTTAATTGGTATATTAAAATAATATTTAAATAAAATAATTAACGTTGATTTGATGTAAAGTAGAAAAAAAATGATTGGAAGTGATAGTTATAAGTGAAAATTATGTGAGTGGATGAATAGTGAATTAAAGTTGATGTGATGTGTAAGAATGATTGGTTGATATTATTTAATTATATTGATAATATGAGAGAAAGTGGAGTTGAGTTAAATTTGAGTTTTGAGTGGATTTTTTTACTGTTCAAACAATAAACAATCGCTCCTTTAGTCTTTTAACTTTTTTAGATTGCAACAAACAAACAACAACATAGCCTTTAGTCCCAAGCAAGTCGGGGTAGGCTAGAGATGAAACCCAAGAGAACCAATGGTAAGAAAAACACAAAAAGGGCTCGAAACAAAAGGAAGAGATTGAAGCAAAAGAGAAAGGAGCAAAAGTCACGGTTCTGGCACGTTGATTGCTAGCCTCCAAGCGCTCCTATCCACCGCTAAATCCTTGAAGATATTCCAATCATTAAGGTCTCTCTTAACCGACTCTTCTCAAGTGAGTTTAGGTCGACCTCTACCTCTCTTTACATCCTCGACCCGCTGTAGGACTCCCCTACGCACCGGTGCATCAGGAGGCCTCCGTTGGACATGTCCGAACCACCTCAGCCGATGTTGAACCAATTTCTCCTCAATTGGAGCCACCCCGACCCTATCTCAAATATCCTCATTCCGAACTCTATCCCTTCTTGTGTGCCCGCAGAACCCACGCAACATACGCATCTCTGCTACACTTAGTTTTTGGACATGTTGCCTTTTTGTAGGTCAACATTCAATACCGTATAACATCCCCGGGCGAATCGCCGTCCTATAGAACTTACCTTTTAGCCTTTGTGGCACCCTCTTATCACACAGAACGCCCGAAGCTTGATGCCATTTCAATTAACCGGCTGCAATTCTATGCCTAACATCAGCATCAATGTCGCCATCCTTTTGTAGCATCAATCCTAAGTACCGGAAAGTCTCCTTCTTGGCCACCACTTGCTCGTCAAGGCTAACGTCACCATCATCATGTGTAGCCATGCTGAAAGCGCACGTCATGTACTCGGTCTTCGTCCTACTAATCTGAAGCCTTTCGACTCTAACGTGTCCTTCCACAGCTCTAACTTCTTATTTACCCCTGCCTTACTTTCGTCAACTAGCACCACATCATCAGCAAAGAGCATACACTAAGGGATATCACCTTGTATGTCCCTTGTGGCCTCATCTTTCACCAAGGCAAATAAATAAGGGCTCAATGCTGACCCCTGGTGTAGTCCTATTTTAATTGGGAAGTCGCTGGTATCGCCCCTACATGTTCGTCATCTCATCCTTGTACATATCCTTGATGAGGGTAATGTACTTAGATGGGACTTTGTGTTTTTCTAAGGCCCACTACATGACATTCCTCGATACTCTGTCATAAGCCTTCTCAAGGTTGATAAAGACTATGTGTAAGTCCTTCTTTTGGTCCCTATATGTAATATCCCACATCGGTTGTTAAGGAGAACGAAACATGCCTTATAAGAGGGTGTGGATACCTTAACTTGTAGGACGCGTTTTGGTGAGCTAGCTCCCAAAGGCAAAACCGTGCGGGTGAGCGGGCCCAAAGCGGACAATATTCTACAGCGGGTGGACTGGGCTGTTACAGATGGTATCAGAGCCAGTACCCGGACTAGTGTGCCAGCGAGGACGCTAGGTCCCCAAGGGGGGTGGATTGTAATATCCCACATCGGTTGTTAAGGAGAACGAAACATGCCTTATAAGAGGGTGTGGATACCTTAACTTGTAGGACGCGTTTTGATGAGCTAGCTCCCAAAGGCAAAACCGTGCGGGTGAGCGGGCCCAAAGCGGACAATATTCTACAGCGGGTGGACTGGGCTGTTACACTATATCTCTCCGTCAACTGTCGTTTAAGAAAATCGCCTCCATGGTCAACCTTCTAGGCATAAACCCAAATTGGTTTTGGATCACACTCGTCATTCGTCGAAGGCGATGCTCGATAACCCTCTCCCAGAGCTTCATCGTACGGCTCATCAACTTAATCCCACGGTAGTTACCACAGCTTTGCACATCTCCCTTGTTCTTGAAGATCGGTACTAAAGTACTTCTTCTCCATTCATCAGGCATCTTGTTTGACCGGAAAATGATATTGAAAAGCTTAGTTAGCCATATTAACGCTCTGGCGCCCAAGCATCTCCACACCTCAATGGGGATACCATCAGGGCCCATTGCTTTACCTCCCTTCATCCTCTTCATAGCCTCTTCGATCTCTGCCTCCCGAATTCTCCTCACCAAGCATTTATTGTTATCCTCAAATGAGTCATCCAGCTCCAGGGTAAGACCCTCACTCTCCCCATTAAACAATTTGTCGAAGTACTCTCGCCATCTGTCCTTGATCTCCCCGTCCTTCACCAGTGGCCGATCCGACCCATCCTTGATGCATTTGATTTGGTTGATGTCCCTTGTCTTCCTATCCCGAATCCTAGCCATCCTATGAATGTCCTTCTCCCCCTCCTTCGTGCCTAGGCGCTGATAATGGTCATCATAGGCCTGACTCTTCGCTACGCTCACGGCACGCTTTGCAGCCCTTCTCGCTATTTTATAGCTCCCAATGTTGGTTGTACTCTTGTCAAGGTGGAGGCGCTTGAAACACTCCTTCTTCTCCTGAATAGCCCTTTGCACTCGTCATTCCACCACCAAGTGTCCTTCGCTTCCTGCTCGCCTCCCCTACTCACACCAAGTACTTCTGCAGCCACCTTCCGTACACATGTTGCAATCTTTAGCCACATGTCATCTGCATCTTCTCCTTCTTCCCAAGGCCCCTCGCCTAGAATCCTATCCCTAAACGTCTGCATCGCTTCCCCTTTAAGCTTCCACCACTTCGTTCTCACGGTCTTGGCACGTTTGTCCCGGTGGACACGTATTCGTAATCGAAAATCTGCCACCACCAGCTTATGCTGGGGGACAACACACTCTCCAGGTATCACCTTGCAATCTACGCAAGCGCGTCTATCCTCCCTCCTTGCAAGGATAAAGTCGATCTGACTTGAGTGTCGTCCACTATGGAAGGTCACCAGGTGAGATTCCCTCTTCTTAAAGAGGGTGTTCGCTATCAACAAGTCGTAGGCCATCGCAAAGTCCAACACACCCTCCCCCTCTTCGTCCCTACTACAATATCCAAACCCTCCGTGCACTCTCTCGAAACCTACATTAGTCGCACCCCTATTGCCGTTTAGGTCTCCTTCTACGAAGAGCTTCTCGCTGGCAGGCACCGTACTAACTAAGGTATCCAGATCCTTCTAGAATTGCCTCTTTGCGCTCTCACTAAGACCTACCTGAGGGGCATAGGCATTGATCACATTCATGGTCAAATCTCCAACTACCAATGGGACTAGGATAATCCGGTCGCCTTGCCTCCTAACATCGACAACTCCATCCTTAAGGCTCCTATCGATCAAGATGCCTACACCATTCCTACTCGATGAAGCCCCAGTGAACCAAAGCTTGAAGCCTGTATCCTCTACCTCATTCGCCTTCTGTCCCTTCCATTTTGTCTCCTGGACGCATAGGATATTAACACGCCTCCTAGTAGCTGCATCGACTAGCTCACGTAGCTTACCCGTTAAGGACCCCACGTTCCAACTACCTATACGGACCCTAGTTGGTTCGACTAGCTTCCTTGCCCTTCGCACCCGTCGAGAGAGATGCGAAGACCCTTGCTCATTTTCCACTAGACCCGGGCGCCGATGTAGCGCGCCACTAAGGATGACGACCCGGTCCTTGCTCACTTAATACCATGCCCAAACCACGACATGGCGCGTCCCCGAGGGGGAGACGACCCGGCCCTTGCCTATTTGACACCATACCGGGTTCCGATATGGCGCGTCGCTAAGAGGGTTACGCCCCAACGAATTTCTCATGTGTTTTATCTCCATAGAACGACTAGGTTTTACGTTGGCTCGCCAAGCCTATCACAACCCTCCTCCTTTACCAGGGCTTGGGACCTGCTATGTTGAGACAACATAGGCAGAGTTAACTTCTTTAGATTGGAACAACATAACAAAATTAGGGGCGAGCGGAAATTGAAAGTAAAATTCTAAGGCATATTTGTTATTAATTTATCAGTTTTTTTATTGTTTTTTTTTTCTTTTTAACTCTATTAATTTTAAAAAAGTTTGTATAGTAGTGAGATTTTAAGTTTTTATTAAAATAATATTTAAAATAAAATGGTTAGAATTAATTTGATATAATAGAAGATAAATGATTGAAAGTGATAAGTAGTTAAAATTTTTTGAGTTATGAATATTGAATTAAAGTTGATGTGATGTGTAAGAATGATTGATTGATATAAGTTAATTATATTGATAATATTGATGCTAGTGAGATTGAGTTAAAGTTGA